AATTAAATAGATTTTGAAATCTGAAAGTTAAGGTTCAGAAAGCCCTGGTGGGACTGACTGTAGTGTGAGCTTAGAAATTATATCTATATGAACTCATGTGAGAGTAGACATCTTTGCTGAAAATTTTAACACAGGAAGTATATAAAGCAGTTTGACATGACTCGTGATTCAGATGTCAGTTGTCGAAGTAACAGAGAAAGTTTTGCATGTAAGTGAAATTTTGCTTTATAATTTTAGGTTGAATTCACTAAGAGACACTACCAAGTGTGCAGCAAAAGCTTACTTCCAAAGCCCTTTAAATTTTAACAATAGTGGTTTAGGGCAGTTTTTCTCATTGAGAAAAAATTCAGTCTTGGCTCTTGTCTTACCAATGGGTTTCAGCCCCAGGCAAGTTCGCTGTGGATTCAATGTGACCAAAGAAACTGACAGTAAAACATTCTTGGGGTGAAAGGGTTATACCCAACTTTATTTCCAGGTGGCAGGTCAGTCACTAAAATCCCACTCACTCAGAGCAAGTCTGCATGCAGCAAGCTGGTGCCTCTGGGCCCCTCTGTCCACACAATCATCCCGCACAGCTGTCCCGTACAGACATCCTCCGGGCCTCTCTGCACAGCCATCCCACACAGACAATTAGGACATTGTGGATAAAATGGAGTTCCTCTGGCCAAGATTCTCACCTGGCCCTGTTTGACTAGCTCACTGCACACCTGTGGGCAATACATGGCTGTTGACTCTAAAAAGAGTTCCTTCCACCCAGTGCTCTGGGCATGACACTGGCAGGGCTGCAAGGCTGCAGGAGAGCAAAGCAGAGGCTGGAGGGGTGGCAGCACTGAGGACAGAGGCCCAGAGGACAGCTGTGTGGGATGACTGTGCAGGCAGAGAGGCCCGGAGGACGGCTGTGTGGACAGAGGGGCCCAGAGGCAGAGACCAGCTTGCTGCATGCAGACTCACTCTGAGTGAATGGGATTCTAGTGACTGACCTGCCACCTGGAAATAAAGTTGGGTATAACCCTTTCACCCCGAGAATGTTTTGCTGTCATATCTTTGGTCACATTGAATCCACAGCGAATTTGCCCAGGGCTGAAACCCATTGGCAAGACAGACATCTTGGTAGATTCCACTTGGGGTGAACTGTTTTCTTACCTTCCTTGGAAGTACTCCTGCCTGTCATCCATACAGACTCTTTAAAGAGCCTGGTTCTTCAGGGACTTCAACCTTGGAATCAGCTCCTCAGGAACACCACCCCTGAGCAGTAACATCTGCACCTGTGAGTCCACACAGAATTCAGGAAGACTGCTTGCTGGACGTTTGCTTTGTTTTTTAACTGTTTTTTAACTCCTAGTCACCTGGTTCCTGGGGTCCTGACTCAAGCAGCTGTTCTCACTGGAAGGCTAATCATGTGAAACAAATCAATACTGCGTGAATAAACAAGTTGCTGCGATCTCATTTGGCCAATCCCCTAACTTACTGCTGAGACACGGCCCTCCTGACACCGTGAGCCACTGGGTTACTTGCTGAGGTTGTCTCATTTTCACTTGTTGTGTAAAGAAATTGTGAGGTGAGATTCTGTTGTAGAAACTCCAGTTTTTCTAACTGTTGCTTCCCAGTGAGTTGGGGATATTTATTGTGGTGGCTGCTGGGTCTGGTAGTGCCAACCACGGTTGTAACCTGGGGCACAGGTACAGAGTCGCTGCACACCAAAGATGCTTTGCCATCCGAAGTGGTAACCAAACAGCCCCCACTCCGCTTTACCTTTGGAGTGGGAAGAGTCCACCAGCCTTGTTCTGACATGATGAGTATGCACTGATAACAAAATAAACTGACATGTGGTACCATGGTGCGCGCAGCACTCCCAACACCCATGTGATTTGCAGCGCGCCGAGCAGCAGCGCAAGCAGGCAAGATCACTTCATACAGACTGCCTCACCTGCTCTAGGTGGGGGGCAGCCACCAGCAATATGTAACAAGTGACTGTGCCTGTGCTCCACTACTGCCTTGTTCATGGACACTGAAGTCTGAATTTCACATAATTTTCATGTGTCACGAAATATTCTTTTAATCCTTCCTTCACCCCTCACCATTTAAATATGTAAAAACCATCCTTAGCCCAGACTACAAAAGTAGATGGGAAATAATAATAATAATAGAGGGAGAAATGTGGGATCAACATATAAATCAAGTACAAAAATCAAACGAATATTCATATTTGACCTGATTGTTTATAGGTCATAATGCGTGATCAAAACCGAAAGTTTCTGTGATGAATGCCCTTGTACTGTTCACCATGTAAGAATTTATTCACTATGTAAGAATTTNTAAGAATTCGTTCACCATGTAAGAACTTGTTTGTTATGCTTCAGAAGATTGGAGACTGACGAGAATTAGGCTTGAGATGGATTAATGATTGTACATTGAGCATTGACCCCCCCTATACTGAATTTTATTGTTGTTAACAACCATTTGATCAATAAATATGAGAGATGCCCTCTCAAAAAAAAAAAGTAGATGGGGACTAGATTCGGCTCAGGGGCCATCTTGGCTGACACCTGATCTAGACTCATGTTGCAGTCACAGGCATAGAACATTAGGGACAGAGAAGGCAAAGGGTGAGATAGATGAACCAGACGACAGCAACAAGGGGAGGTTTTAGTTTCACCTTTACAAGGTGCCAGCCAGTGTTTGCTGGGTGTTCAGAATTCATCCCTGAACTTAAAACTGAGTTGGGAGAAGTCCACCACAAGTTTGCTGTCCATGACTCTCGTATTCACGGGGGAAGTGTCTACTATACTTGCAAAATATTTCCTCAGCATTGCTTCTTTAACTTTTCATCTGTAATTTGGGAATTTGTAACATCTAGTCCAAAAGTCTCCCTTGGACCGTTTTCTTTTAGTATCTGTTCTGTGTATTTCAAGTTGCCTTGAATTATCCTTTTGATTCTGCATTCCTATTATCCTTTGTTTAATTTAGCATGGATTTTGTTCAGGTCAACAGCCCCAAATCCTGTTCTTGCAGCACAGTCATTGGCAGTGAGCTTGTATCCCAAATATCAGACCCCTGTCCCAACAACTGTCTACCCAAGCATGATTCATGTTCCCACAATAAAGAAAGAAATAGCTGAGAATCCCTATTCTTTCCAAGGTGCTTGTCAACACTGTAGCTTACAGGTGAATAACTACCTCACTGATGACATGAGAGCCAAATGGATGCTTAGTATCCAGCAAGCACTTTGCCTTAAACCAGTACAAAGTCATCCTTGGGGACCCAGCCTGAACAAGATGATACCGTTGACGATGGCTTACTGTGATCATGCTGTTACTGTTAAGGATGAATTGTGTTTACACATAGAGGTTTTCACAGAGATGTGGAAGGCCAGAATGGAAACAAATTCCACATTTTTCCTGTTTTACATTCAGTAAAATTCACTCACTATAAGTCTACAGTTTTGGTGATTATGTGTGGTTGTGTCATCACAACTGTCAATACAGAACAGTTGTACATCCTCTTAAATATCCCTTGTGCCGTTTATCCCCTCCCCTGACTCTTAGTTTTGCCTTTTGTGGATAAAAGGGAAGTTCCTGTGGCCAAGATTCTCACCTGGCCCTTGTTGGCCAGCTCACTACACATGTGTGGGCAATACATCACTATTGACTCTATGTAAAGAGCTCCACTCAGTGCTCTGGGCAACATGGTGGCAGGGCTGCAAGGCTGCAGGAGAGCAGAGCAGAGGCTGGAGTGGTGGCAGCCCCTAGGATAGAGGCCCAGAGGATGGCTGTGTGGGATGACTGCAGGCAGAGAGGCCCAGAGTACGGGACCGGCTTGCTGCATGCAGACTCGCTCTGAGTGAATGAGATTTTATGATGGACCTGCCACTGTGGAAATAAAGTTGGGTATAACCTTTCATCCCAAGAATATTCTACTGTCATTTTCTTTGGCCACACTGAATCCACAGTGAACTTGCTGGGGGCTGATACCTTTCCTAGAATTTCATAAGTCTAAGTACAACTTCTGCATTAACAGGGCTATTCAAGTTGTTATCTGTCTGGGTCAGTTTTAGTCACCTGTGTGTTTTAAGGATTTTGTCTGTGCCATCCAGTTTAAATTTATTGGCGTAAGTCGTTGGTCATAGTTTGACTATCCTCTTAAGATCTGTAGGGTATATAGTGATGTCCTTGCTTGAAATATATTATACGCTAACTAAGAGAATATTCAAACAGTAAAATTGTGCATCCTCTTTTCTTAAGTTTCTAATTTCTTGTCCTTGCATTCTCTAACTTTCAACTTCTCGGAGTGTGCACCTAAGGGAGCTTGTTAGAACAGGAGAATATGACCTTTGAATTAACCAGTTACACTTAAACTTGGCCGCTCCCTAGCCCTCTGACCTTGAGCAGATGACATAACTGCTCTGAGTCTTAATCACATCCTCTGGAAAGATGTACCAGTGTCTGCTGTATAGATAGTGGGAGGCCTTGCAGGTGACCGGCTCAGCGAGTGAGGACCATCATGATGCTGGTGGACTGCGTTGCTCCAACTAAAACAGGTTACTTGGATATTTTTGATGAACAATGACAAAATAAGTAATCATTTTGGTATGTGAACTTAAGAGTCATTTTTGCAGATAGACTGTACTGCATGTATCCTTGAAGGTGGTCTGGAGTTGAAGACACCAATACAGTGTATACAAACCTCTTGACTTCTCTACAGTGGAACAGAAGGAATCAAATATGGGATTTTTGAGAGCTTGAAGCCTTCTGTGTTCTCTGCCTCAGTGTGTTTCACATTCTGTATAATCAGAATCCTGAATTTGTGCACTGTAATGTACATTATTGGAACATGGTTAATTATCTAGAAATTCTGATTTTAGCAGAGTTAATCAGTATGAGTGTTAATTACTGAAAGACCTTTGTCTAAGGATGCAAGATTAAAATGTCAAGACACTCAAAAGAGAATTGTAGAAATGATATCCTTTAACTTGTTTTTTGTTTGTTTCTTTTTATATTAAGGTCCTTAATTTTCCCATTTCTGATCCGAGGAGGAAAGCCAACACCAGTGAGAACATGTATAGTGGCATTCACGTTCTGTACCTATAACGGCTACTTGCAAAGCAGATACTTGAGCCAGTGTGCAGTGTATGCTGATGACTGGGTCACTGACCCCCGATTCCTAGCAGGTGAGTGTCCTTGGTGGTGCACTCTATGGTTGCAATCAAAGCTTTGATATTCAGGTTCCAGTCATTGCCATTAGAAAGCCCCGAGAGAAGAGTCTGTGATGGTCGGTGGCCTAACGGCAGGGGCGCAGCACCAGAGGGAGAGTCATGCTGTCCCGGCAGCGGGAGGTGGTGCGGCCACCCAGTGACCCCATCCACTCAGGCCCTGGAAGTGCACATACCTGTTCTTAAGGCAAGCCTCAAAATAGCAACAGGCTGCGCAGAGTGAGCAGAAGGTGGGGGCTGGGGAGATTTGAGCACTAAATGGCCATGGAGTCTGAGAGCCGTTTAACATCCTGCATGTCTTCTGGAACATGAGAAGTCGTCAAACTGGCTCATTTTTCAGCTTTTATGATAATACATGAATAAACATTTACTTTTGTGAAGTCTTTTAGTGTTTTAAATCTTTACCAGTTAATGTAAATTAGTATATATTTTCAGATTCTAAATATAACCTTACAAGTTCTGAGCAAAACAAAAATAAAACACTAGCAATCAAAGGTATTTCCAAGTGTTAAAAATTTGTAATCTCAAAAGTATGTAATCTCAGGGCAGCAAGGGACAAGAGAGAGGAAGGGTTTGTTTTTTATTAAGCAAGGGATTTGGCATGAAACATTTATTTGAGATTCTCATAGAAATCATTTTATGAGGAGTTGCTTGGATATTTTTGATGAACAATGACAAAATAAGGAATTGTTTTGATATGTGAACTTAGGAGTCATTTCTGCAGATAGACCGTACTGCATGTAGCCTTGAAGGTGGTCTGAAGTTGAAGACACCAATACAGTGTATACAAACCTCTTGACTTCTCTACAGTGGAACAGAAGGAATCAAATATGGAAAAAATGTGAAGTGGGAAACATACTAAGCTACTTTAAAATATAGATTTAATTCCTAGAGTTTATAGTTTTTGTTAAGGAGAGAAAAGGATATGACATGACTAGTTAGTTATACTGGCATTAGTTACCATGAAGAGCTCAGCAAGTAATAGTAATACCCTAACAAAAGTTTTCCAGAGCAATAAAAGTGGTTAACCTGAGATTTGATACAAAGATTTTAAGATCCCTAAATTGGAATCCAATGTCTAGTTTAGTTAAGCACAAGTACTATTTTTCTTTCCATTCTAGGCAATAAAGGGAGCTTGTCTCTTAAAAAAGAGAAACACTGAATTTTGAAAATGTGATTCTGGAACCTTAAATTGGGGACCAAATCACTTAGAGGTGACATACTGAAATGCAAGTAAGGTAGTGAGTCAGCTATAAATTTATGGATCCAATAGATGACTTATAAAACATTACAGAAGTTGGTCTAAACTGTTGAGGAAGAAAGCTGTCCACAGTGATGAGGTCAGAAGGAAGAAATCTTGAAGCCCGAATGCTTTATGTGTCCTTGTTCGCACAGTGAAAAATGTTAATGCCACTGGGATAACATGAATAGTTAACAATGGTGTTACTCCACGGGCTCGTTTCTTTGATACTGAATTGAATGCCACCATTAAGCACCATCCGCCTTTCACATTTTTCTAATAAGACAATCAAATTCACTCTTTATCAAACCAAGGCATTCCTTTTATAAAACTCTTGGCATTTGGCCTTTTCTTGTTGGATGAATTGACATGCTGTGATTAAGTCTCCTTTAAGTGAAGACTTAGAATGGGAAAGAAAGCATTCAGGATGCTATGGAATAAATATGAAGGGCCATGCAGCCCGCTGTCGGGAGATTTTCTTGGGCTCTGAGGCTGGTGAGCAGACCCAGGAATGCTGATGGCTGAGTGAGTGGGACACTGGGGTGGGGGAGCCATGGGTGTGCAGGAAGCTGTCCAAATGAAGTGGTAAACAAAGAAGAAGACCAAAGGGGGACTTTAAGGAGCCAGCATCTCCCAAAGGGCCTGCATGCCCCTAATGATGAGAGCATGTGCTGGGATTTCCCCTCCCATCCGCCAATGGAGAGGGTAGTCTCGCTCCACAGATGCCTCATCCTTTTTGTGAGGGTAGGTAAATCTTGTGGGCTGACTCACTGATGGTAATAGCATTTCTTACGAGCCTTATGCAAAAGTCTTATTTTTTCTAATCATACTAGTTACCCTAAAAATGTAGATGTGGTTATCAGGTCCAAGTATTCTCAAAGGATTAGGTAATTTATTAGTATTACTTGATAAACAAAGCCCTATTTAGCATACCTGAAAGCAGTACTTACAAATTATCTTTCCAAATGAAAGATAATATTTGCTGTAATGATTTTTACTATCAAATATGGCTAATTATGTTATACAAATTGTGACAATATGAAGGATTATAGCATTATTCATCAAGGCTTGGTTTTGTAAATTTTGTAATTTATCAACCATAATACTCTTATGTATTTTCTTTAGGTTTTGTCTTATGGTTAATAGGTACTCTGATAAACATCCATTCAGATCATATCCTAAGGAATCTCAGGAAACCAGGGGAGAATGGATATAAAATACCACGGGGTATGTACTAAAAATGGATAATTTATTCTGAACTTGGATTGCTTGATGCCTTGCTATTTCAGTTTTGCCAGATCTAAAAACTGAAATACAGTATTATTAGCTGCAAGTTTTCAGTGTGAGTCATTATTATTAATAGCAGTTGCTATGATAATTGCTTTATTAGAATAATAAAAGGAATAATTCTGGCTAACTGAATGTTTATTAGGTAGAAAGTAAACTCTGGTTATATATGTGTTTGGAAAGACTATGAGAAAGAATTTGTGGTTTACAAGGGGTGTCCAATACTTCATTTCTACAAAATAATAGAGTAGAAACCTTGACTGACCCCCCCTAAAAATAGTTTAAAATGATGAGTGTAATTTCTTAAAAATATTTTTAAATGTGTCAGTGTGATATCAAGAAAAGAGGTAACTTCAGCAGGCAGAGCCTAAATAAGCCAGTGATTGAGTCCAGAACACATCTTTTAAAGGTCTGTAACCAGCTGCCCTTATGCTAGTTCATAGCCCAATTGTGCACCACGTGGATGGTCTGAAAGACCTCAAACCCTGAATTAGGACCCACAAGGTAGGGGGTGCTGCCCCCACACACCCAGCCAGCACAAGCCCAGACCCCAGAGGGACTAATCTTCACTTCAGGCCTCAGACCACATGCCACAGAATAAGAGCCATACTCGAAAGTTGCAGAACTTGGGAGGAAATAGGCACCACAAGTAAGAGCAAAATAAAACTTGAGATTCCAGATCTTAGACTTAATAGAAACAGTTACACAGTGAATACTTGCATGTCTAAAAAAATAAAAAGAGATTGAAATTGTGAGAAAAGGAGTGATATACTATAAAAAGAACTAAACAGAGGTAAGATAGAAAGCAGTAGAGCTTCTAAAAATCAACTCAGTAGGTAAAACACTTGGGTAGAACTGGAAAGTGCATGGCGGCCCTGAATTTGGCCCTTGGAGTGGCCACTGGGCTCTGCATTTTTCCAGAGTTGAATCTGTTCTCCAAGTAAGTACCCACCTGTCTTCTGAAGTCCTTAGGCATCATTTTGCAGTAAATGCACTGTTTGGTCTTTGTTCTCCCCCAGGAGGCTTGTTTGAATATGTAACCGCAGCCAACTACTTCGGTGAGGTCGTGGAGTGGTGTGGCTTCGCCCTTGCCAGCTGGTCCCCCCAGGCCGGGGCTTTCGCTCTGTTCACAGCCTGCAGCTTATTCAGCATAGCCCAGCATCATCACCAGTAGGTTTCAAAAACACTTGTATATCTTTAATTTATTCTCTGACCTCAATGTAACAGTTTTCAGATCAGACTTGAAATGTTAATACTAATTTGAGTTGCCAAATCCCAGTGTATACTGGCAAAACAAGTTCCAAACCCTGCAAACCTGCAGAACAGGGTGGCTGTGGAGAGTCACGGATGCACAGTCTGTACTGGCGATTGCCCCACCCATTCTGAGCCTCTGAGATTTCACTGCTGGGTCAGGTTAAATGTTAAGCAGGGGGCTCGGGCTTGGGCCTAGACTGCTTTTGTTGGGATGGGGAGCGCCAGCCTCTGGCCCCTGCTTAGTGGAGCAGTGTACTGGCCACATGGCTTGAGCTGCTCACCGTGATCTGATAGCTGAGTATGGACGTGTACTTACTCACGCCTCTACACTGGGAGTTGGAGGACAGCCTTTGAGGAGGGATTCTGTTGAAATAAAAAAATATTGCAAAGCTTACTATTCAAGGTTAATGTCACTTTTAAAAAGTGAATTCAGTGTGTCTTCAGGGCGCTGTGACTGCAGTGGGTTCAAAGATTAGACAAGTACACAGTAGAATATGCTTATGAAATACTTCTTGTCTCACAGCCTGTTCATCAGACTTGATGACAAAAAGCAAGATTTGTGACCACTTGGCAAGTGTTTCCTCAGCTCTCCAGGATCTGTCTGCACCAAAGGAAGACTGCTGTGAGGGAAATTTGGGAATACTAAGCTGTTTGTAAGCCAGAAAAAGCAATAACTGCTTTGGAGAATTATCTCAGATTTAGTATAATTTAAATGCAGGGGGCATCTATTGGTTAGGGGTTATCTCACTTTGAAACAAAAGGCAGTGGGACACTGTTCACACTCCATGATAATAAAATCAAGACAAAAAGCTGATACCGAGCTGTGGTCAGTGTCATGAGTGACCACTTTGACTCTAGAGATAGAAAAATGAGTGAAAAAATAATAGGAATCATACTGATTGCCCTTTTACAAATATTTATCTGTACACACATTTTATAAATATTAAGATAAAATTTCTTGAGGTACATTTGTAATCTCAATGATTAAATGAATGAGAAAGATTTATTCTATTTAACAAAGTATATTTTATTCCTATATAGTGGCTTCTGTGAAGTAAAGTTAACGTATTTGTTGGGCATAGCTCTGTTGGGTGAGAAACTCTGACCTCATAAAGGTTCTTCCTGACGTCATGAGGAATCCCGCCCTGCTGCCTAACACTTCAGACAGTCCCCCATATTGTGCTTGGGCATGGCTGTCCTGTTTCTGCTGATATTAAGCTGTTCTCTGTGTCCACTTCTTCCCTTCTGAGGCCAGTGTGTCCCTCCTCACAGGCAGTTTCTAGGGACAGGCACTGACCCCTGCCTGTCTGTGAGCTGCATCTGATGCCACAGACTCACGGGAAAGTGCCGAGAAGCCTGCTCATGGTCCACGTCCTGAGTCCCTAGCAAGCTGTTTTGGTCTGTTTGGGCTGCTACAATGATAAACAATGCAAACTGGGTGGCTTACAAACAGCAGACATTTATTCCTAGCGGTTCTGAAGGCAGGAGTCAGAGATCAGGGGGCCAGTGTGCTCGGGTTCTGGTGAGAGCCCCTTCTGGGTTGCAGATGGTACCACCTCTGCCTCCTCACAGGGCAGAAGGAGGGAGGAGCTCCCTGGGGCTTCTTCATCAGGGCACCAGTCCCATTCCTGAGGGTTCACGACCTGATCACCTGCTAACAGGCCCCACCTGCTAACACCAGCACCGTGCGCCTCAGGTTTTTAACATGAATGTTGGGGGTCACATGCTTGATCCAGAGGTCCATTGGCCAACATCGGTATTTTTTTCACTCTGCGTTTTTTGGGGTATATGGAACAGCATGTGAAAGTAAACATGTCAGTCTAGTATGTTATGAATCACAGTTTGTGAAGGACTATTAAGCTAATCTGAAATGGACAGGGTTTTGCTGACTCAGTTTGGTCTTGTCATGTTCTTTTGCTGTAATAGCAGGTAGCTGATCACTTTGCTTCATGATTTTTAGTCAGTTTAGCACTCTTTTATTCTTTTGTAAACTGCTTTTTTTCTCTCTCTCTCCATCTTGTCAAATCATTTTTAATTTTTATTTCATCCCCTTAGTTGCTACACTTCCCAACTGGCTATGACGCCAAACAAATGCGTGTACCTGGTTTGGGTGTAATTTCTGTAAAGACTGGCCACGCCCGTTTTGCTCTGCACACGGGGCTGAATCGCGAGCGCCCGTGTTGCATCTGCCCAGGTCTGCTCGAGAGCCCTCAGTCCGCTGGCACGTGGTTGCACGTCCTTTCCACAGACCCTGGGTCTGGGGCCACAGTTCTTCCCGGGGACTGGAGAGAAACCCTGGAGCCCCCAGTTACTCCAGATGCACGCCCTTAGCTCCACCCCTCTCCCCGACTCTGCCCCCTGTGGCTGCTCAGCAGCTTGGGTACCTGTCAGGGGTTTTCCTTGGCCGACATAAGGGTGAATTATGTAGGTTACTGTTTGTATCACACATTGTAATCTGATACATGTAACCAGATACATTTAATTGTTCATGATACAAAGTCAAACTATGTCTCTGAAATGTCAGTGCTTTTACTACTACTTTTAAAACACTCACTATTCCTTTATAATGGAAAATATTGTCCCTTTTTTTAGCATCTGTTAAATGTTTAAGTAATAAAATTATTTCCTTTTCTTAATATTTTTTTTTCCTTACTTTAGGTGGTACCTTGAAAAATTTGAGGATTATCCGAAGTTCAGAAAAACTATAATTCCATTTTTGTTTTAAATCCATTGTCATCTTTGACTCGAAGCTTTTTGATGGCTTTTCTCTAGGGATTATATAAATGAATTATCTGTGATTTTGCCGCTACATCTTTTTGTCCTAATTTGCTCTAGGAATTTTTTCCCTAGTGAATGTGTAAGCTACCTAATAATAATGCAGGTTGAAGCACTATGCTGCCTACCAGGTGGAATGTGAAACGGGGCGATTACTGCTGGCCACTTCTCTGATTTTGGATGTACCTTTTCTGGCTACATGCAGCCACGTGTGCATAGGACCAGAATTTGCAAGCCATCCTTGATGGCCTCTGTGGACCAAACTATTTCACAACCCCTACAACAACTGACTCATGGTCACTTCTGATGTTGCCCTCTCCCCCCAGAGGCATGACCCATCTCTGCTGTCCCTTATCCCACTGGATCAGAGAGACTTGGGGCACTGGTCACAGCCTCAGGGAAACCCTGGGCCCTCACCCTTGGGGGTTGTGCAGGCAAGGATGCAGAAGCACAGCTGAGGCCTGGACCAAAGGCATCTGGCACTTGGCTCTGGCCTCGCCTGTTGGGTGACTTCACCAGCAGGGCAGCGACCAGAGGGCATGCATCAGGAGCTTGCCCAAAGGGACCTGTCACTCCACAGTGGCAGCACCAAGGTGCGACGTGGCAGGCCCCTTCTCTAGCCTCACCATAAGCCAGCAGTGAGCAGCCTCCACTCTGAGACAGTCGTCTTGCTTTTCTCCTTCCTTTTAGTGTGACGAAGTTTTTAAGGCACTTTTTTTTTTTAAGTACCCCTCAATGTTGCAAAACGATATTTTGGAACAGAATTCCTTACTGCAGATGCACATGAAATGTCCCCAGAGATAAATGGCAGTAATGCAATTTGCTGCAGAGCCACAGACCGTAAGAGAAATGGAAACAAAGAAATGGATTTGGGTTCTCTGCAGTCACTAGGGTGCTGGCTGGCAGGAGGCCTCGGGGTGCCCAGAAGCTGTGTGTCCTGTGGATGCACCTCCTGCCACTTTGGGCAGTGGGCAGGCCCCCCTGGCTAGGTCATTGGCTCCCTCCAGCCTTCTCTCGGCTCACCTTCCCAACAAGGCCTCCCCAGCCCCTCACGAGCCCTGACATAGAAACTGTATTCTCACTGTTGGGGGATTTAGAGTCTCTCATGGGCTTAGAATAACACAAAAAACTCTCCTGATGCCCTTGTGCTTCATTTTAACTAAAAATAATGTTTTGGCAAAGAGATTTTTATTATTAAGTAAATGTTGGGCCTTTTTCTGACCAAATAGTTACTTGAAAACATAAAGCAATAAATGCTTTGGAACTCCTCAGGAAAACGCAAAAGTCCAAGGGAGATTGGGGCCCATGTCCTGGAAGGTATACCTGGCAGGGAGAAGGCAGCATGCCTGAGCGCCAGTGACGCTGCTGTGAAGTGTACGGCAGTTGGTGATTAGTTTAATACACTTACTACTGTAATGGCATGCACTGCGGGGGATTCACATGAAGAAATCCTATTCTATCTTGTCTCACTGCCGTCTATATCCTAAAACCTCTTAACTTGGTAAATTGTCATCAATCATTGAGTTAATTTTAATAATCGAGATTAATAAAATTGCTGCTACAAATCTAGTCATTTCTGTTAGTGTTCATTGTTACTCTGCTATGTTAATCATTTCTTCACTCTGCAAGTTCAGACATAACATAATTTTCAGCCCCGAAATGTACTTTTTATCTATACTAACATTTCATAGTATCAGTTATTTCTTTTACCTCTCATACAGCTGGGTAACATTTTTTATATAAATCTGGTATATTTCTGTTCCTATTAGATATTGGGCATTTGTTCATTGTGAATGAGAACGTGTCCCCAAATACATTTTTGTTTAATTGATTGACATATCATTGATACACAATCTTAATTGGTTTCAAGTATACAACATAGTGGTTCAACAGTTACCCACATTATTAAATCCTCACCCCCACTGGAGTAGTTATTATCTGTCAACAAAAGATGTTACAGAATCATTGGCTATATTCTCCATGCTGTACTACTATCCCCATGGCCAACTTAATATTATGATTGAGAATTTTTGTGCTCCTTTATCCCCCTCAGCCTCCCCTCTACCCATCCCAACTCCTCCCCTGTAGTAACCAGCAGTCACTTCTCAGTTTGTATGCATCTACTGCTATTTTGTTCATTTTGTTTTAGATTCCACAAATAAGTGAAATCATATGGTATTTGTCTTGCTCCACCTGGCTTACTTCACTTAGTGTAATACCCTCTCCATCCATCCGTGTTGCTGCAAATAGCAGGATTTCTTTTTTATGGCTGAATAATATTCCATTGTGTGCCACATTTTCTTTATCTATTCGTCTATTGATGGAGACTTTGATTCCTTCCATGGCTGTTGTAAATAATGAGCCTATAAATGGGTGCATATATCTTTTTGAATCAGGGACTTTGTTTTCTTCAGGTAAATTCCTAGAAATGGAACTACTGGGTCATATGGTATTTCTAGTTTTAGTTTTTTGAAGGAACCTCCATACTTTCCACAGTGGCTGTACCAATTGACATTTCCACCAACAGTGGAGAAGGGTTCCCTTTTCTCCACATCCTCACCAACACTTCTTATTTCTTCTTTTGGAAAGTGGCTCTTCTGACTGGTGTGAAGTGATACCTCATTGTCATTTTGATTTGCATTTCCCTGATGATTAGAAATGTGGAGCATCTTTTTATGGGCCTGTTGGCCATATGTATTTCTTTAGAGAAATGCCTGTTCAGGTCCTCTGCCCATTTTTTAATCAGGTGTTTTTTTTCTTTGTTGAGTCATATGAGTTCTTTGTACATTTTGGATGTTAACCCCTTACTGGATAAATAATTTACATATATATTCCCCATACCCACACACATAGGTTGCCTTTTTGTTCTGCTGATGGCTTCCTGTCCTGTACAGAAGCTTTTTAGTTTGATGTAGTTCCACTTGTTCATTTCTGATTTTGTTTCCCTTGCTCAAGGAGATTTGTCCAGGAAAGAAGATTGCTCATACTTATGTTCAGGAGATTTATGTCTATGTTTTCTTAGAGTTTTATGGTTTCATGTCTTACAGTTAGGTCTTCGATCCATTTTGAGTTTGTGTGTGGAGTTAGAGAGTAATCCAGTTTCATTCTCTGCATATAACTGTCCAGTTTTCTCAACACCAGTTGTTGAAGAGGCTGTCTTTTCTCCATTGTATATTCATGGCTTCTTTATCTTTTATTAATTGACCATATATGTTAAGAGTTTATACTTGGGCTCTCTATTCTGTTCCATTGATCTATGGGTATGTTCTTGTGCTGATACCATAGTGTTTTAATTACTGTAGCTTTGTAGTATAGTTTGAAGTCAAGGCACGTAATACCCCTAGCTTTGTTCTTTCTCAGGATTTGGGGTCTTTAGTTGTTTCATATGAGTTTTAAGATTATTTCCTTCCTGTAGTTCATGGAAAAATGCTGTTAGTATTTTGGGAGGGATTGCATTGCATCTGTAAATTGCTCTGGACAGGATGGCCATTTTGACAATATTCTTCCTATCCATGAGCGCAGGATAGATTTCTATTGTGTCTTTAATTTCTCTCATGAATGTCTTAACAGTTGTCATAGTACAGGTCTTTCACTCTTTGGTTAGTTTTATTCCTAGGTATTTTATTCTTTTTGATATAGTTGTAAATGGAATGTACAATGTTTTCCTGATTTCTCTTTCTGCTAGTTCATTGTTAGTATGTAAGAATGCAACTGATTCCTATGTATTATTTATATCCTGCAACTTTGCTGAATCCAGTTATTCTAATAGTTTTTTGGTGGAGTCTTGAGGGTTTTCTTTGTATAATGTCATTTTACCTGCAAATAGTGATGGTTTAACTTCTTCCTTACCAATTTGGATGCCTTTATCTCTTTGTCTTGACTGATTTCTTATAGCTAGGATCTCCAGCACTATATGGAATAAAAGTGGTAAGAGTGGACACCCTTGTCATGTTCCTGATCTTAGAGGAAAGCTTTCAGCCTTTTTGCCATTGAATGTTATGTTAGCTGTGGGTTTGTTGTATATAGTCTTTATTATGTTGAGTTATGTACCCTTTATGCCCATTGTTGAGCATTTTTAATTATGAATGAATATTTAATTTTGTCAAATGCTTTTTCAGCATCTATTGAGATGATCATGTGGTTTTCTTTTTGCTAACATAGTATATGATTTTGATTGATTTATAAGTATTGTATATCTTTGCTTCAATGGACTAAATCCCACTTGGTCATGATGATCTTTTTTATGTATTTTTTGAATTCGGTTTGCTGATATTTTGAGGCCCATATACATTTTATATCTCAGATAAATCAAAGCTATTGATGTTTGTCATATCCGGCCATGTTAGTGAAATTAATCTATGAACTCCTACTTGCTCCTATTGTTACTCGTTCTCTAGCTCTGCTGTCATGTCATCTGCAAATATCTTAGTTCTCATTTCTGTAACCTTTGAAGTGGCTGCTTTCCTTGTTTGTATCCTACAATTAGCAAGAAATTTGAAAACAATATTGAAAAATAGAGGTGTTATCAGGATTCTTGTGTGATTTTATAGGCATGCCTATTTTTGGAGACTACTATTTTGAGCATTATTTTATTTCTCTTTCAGGGTTATTGGTTCTGTTTTCTACATTCGTAACTGGAGTCATTTCATTGCTTTTTTTTTTAATCATCTGTTTTGAAGTTTTCAGAGGTAGGGTTTCAAAGATCAGAAATGAGAAACAGGGTTTGCCAATAGGCATAAGGAGATAGCAGACTAAGAACACTGTGCTGACATTGTAACCTCCTTTCTTCTTGAGATAGCCTCAGTTTATCTTTGTCTGTTTTAACTTGTTATCTGCTTTTATCATATTTTCTCTTCTAATTTGGATTAGAATTCTTTTGTTGTGTTCATACTGCCGAGGGGGAGTGCCTCATTTGCTCGGCAAGCGTATTTTTAGCTTTTGAGGCTGTGTGTCTGCCGAATAACACTGAACATACTTCCTTACTTTAATAATGTCCCTATAATTATTATCCTAAATAGTCTCCAGTTGTACTTAAGTTTGCTTTGATCTAAACATTTTTAAGAAACTGGTTTTTGTTTTGAATGATGCTTTTTACTTTTCAACCATTTGGGGGGTTTGATTTAAAGGTTTTGTTCTTTTTCATGTGTGGATTTAGTAGAGGTCATTTTCTGTGAAGTCTCTCCTTTATGGATTTTATTTTCCCTTGTAGCCCCAAGCTCTTTATAGAAATCACAAGACCATTTTGTAAAGGAAATGCTGTTTGTTCTGTAATTTAATTCAAACATGTTAAAAGCATAACTAAGTTTTAACAGAATAGTTAAAATTCTCTGCCACCTTGTTTTTTTCCACGTCAAATTTTCCTTCTATTTCTAGTAGTTTTTGCTTTGTTTTGATGCTGGTGTTTTGCAGAACTTTCTGCCTTACAGTCTGCACCTGTTACCCATATAAGAGATAACCTTCCTGCTAGATGCTGCCAGCCTTGAATTCTACTTAGATAGAATATTGCTGCACTACTTTTTTGGTTGTGTCTTGCCATGGGATTCAGCCCTGGGCAAGTTCGCTATGGATTCAGTGTGACCAAAGAAATGACAGTCGAACGTTCTTGGGGTGAAAGGGTTTATTATCCAGCTTGTTCTGGCCGTAGATCGAGCACTAGTGTCTCTGCCTCCGCCCAGAGCACTGGGCTGAGCTCTCTGTATAGGGCAGTAATAGCTTGTTGCCTAAAGGTGTGGAAGCGGTAGCCTAGCAACAGGCCAGTTACATCATCAGGTGGTTTAAGTTCAGTGAGGATCCTGGCCATAGGAACCCCACCTTCCCCACGTCTACATGCTCTCAATCTTCCACAATGGTTCCTGTGCAAGGAAGCTGGATCACTGTAACCAGATTTCACAACAGCAACAGAGGATAACAACAACTTAAAGATAACAACAAAAATTAAGATACAACAAGATTTTGAACAAAAATTATAATAATCCTCAAGCCAAAGGGGTTCTTAATCCCCAAAGACCTTAGGGGCGATAAGACATGTTTTAATGACACCAACATAGGCAAATCTTGTGCATCAGGTAGGATACATGCAAGAGAGTGGTCCTGTGATAAGACTGTAGCATGCAGGCGGTCCGTTCCAGCTCTAGTATACCATACTTTTACTTCTGTCCCCGTGGGGGTTACTGAAGGGTCTATAGATAGTGCTACTGGAGGAGCATGCACTGGCCATTATGCTAAAACAAAACTCCCTGGTAAAATGCTCCTACCTTCTGGCCATTCAGGATACACTACTATGATCTTTGGGGGCCACTCTGCTTTTACTTCAGAAATACACAAGATGCCACCTTCCAGGCCTTGTCCCCAAGGTGCCAGGAGAGCCAACTGTCGTTGGTCCATGTGTCCAAAAGTCCAAGGTTCACGTCCACTCAATAGAGTCTCCAGGGTGTAGTGCAGTTGATACTTGTAGCAAGATATTCTGGTGGCCAAACCTGCTTCAGCAATTCTTCCTTGGTTTGTACTTGGAGTTGTAGGAGGCAGCCATACGTGTTAACATGTCTACAGGTCTTAGGTCTCCCTTTGGG